AACAAGGGATAGTGGTTCAATCCCATTAATCTATGTTATGTTTTTCTTTTCCTTTTCATTTGTTGTCTTGGTGCACTCTTGTCTATTGAAATAAATAAATAAATAAATAAATAAATAAATAAATCACGAAAACGATACTGAACCTGCTTGATAGCGGCTTTTTTGCAAGAATAGTGTGGGTTTATGGTATAGATTTTCACTATAAACAAGAAAAGAGGCATTAACTCGACAAAAGGATATGATATTCGTGTTCGGCAAGACAATCAGTTAATTATTCATTCTTACTTTAACCCCCATAAATCCTCGAACTCAACGAGTTTCTGAAAATCTTTGGATTTTTCTAATTTGTCATTAGAAAGCAAGCAGTTTGTGCTAGTTTGTAACTCACACAGTAATCTATACAGTACTAAAATGTGAGCGCGCCAATAACAGAAAGCAAAAAGTTACAGACTTAGTTGCAAAACTTAGTCAACAACCTAATAATTTCTTCACCCTAGATTGCAGAAAACTTTAATGGACGTTCTGAAAAGATGTAGTAAATAAATCTTATATATAAAGCTGAATGTCTGTTTGTCTGCCTGTCTGTCTGTATGTCTGTCTGTCTGTCTGTATGTCTGTACGTATGTTCCGAATAGAAAATTCCATTTCTTAACCGATCCGAACCAAACTTGGCACACATACACTTCGGGCCCCGGCGGGTGTCATAGGCCACTTTTCGTCATCGATCGATATCGATTTTATCGATTTTTTGCAAAATTCGAGCTACGGGGCTGGGAGTTGGCACAGGGGGTAATCGAGCATGCTGATCACCCCCGTGGGGGTCACCCCTGTGCCAGCATGCTCGATTACACCCCTCTGCCAAATTTCAGCCCCCTAGCTCAAATTTTGCAAAAAATCGATAAAATCGACATCGATCGATAACGAAAAGTGGACTGTGACACCCGCCGGGGCCCGAAGTGTATGTGTGCCAAGTTTGGTCATCGGTTAAGAAATGGAATTTTCTATTCGGAACATATGGCGGAGCCGGGTAAGCCAGCTAGTTCGCTTATATTCTTGTGAGTGATACTTTAAATTTAAATGGTACAAATTAAATGAATTCTACTTTACATTATAGCTTGATCTGCTTTCCTTGTCTACTGTGTTAAAACCATTAAAGGTAGAATAATGCAGATCACGAATTGTTGACTAGTACCATCAATGTTAAAGAATGTTTTTTCTACTCTTGGAAAACACTACCAAAAAATCTTCTTGGTTCAATGAAAAGTTAAAAGCTATATTGTTACTATCATACTCTTGTTTAAAATGTAGGTTTTCTCAACACCAGAACAGCTCAATTATTACTTCGAGAGTTTGTGAATTTGATGGAAAATACCGGAGTTATTGCTCTATCTGACAACTATTTATTGAATTATGGTTCACTTTCTGGGAAATCAAACAGCAGATGATTTACAGGAAAACTTCAGCAATGAAGAAAAACGGCAGCTACTGTTCAATCCAAATTGCATGAAGATGGATAAAAAGACGACACGAAATTTCACTGGCAACTTGACTTCACTCATCAAGTGCTTCGATGAAATTACTGGAAGGCTTTCAATCTATTTTTTGAGTCCATTCCCTCTGGATGTTCCTTACGTTCCCGTCAGAAAGCTAGAAACTTCGACTTCACGATACGCAAACCACTCGTATAATCAACCAATTCTTAGAGACATTTTCTTCATTACGAGGTTTTCAATGATTCTCTTAGGCCAACGAAAAATCTAGAATGGACTTCATTTTTTGTTAACTCAACGATTCAACATATAACTCAAGTAATTCGTAATCGAGACGTTCATATCTTCCATTAGAGATTTATTAAAGGCAGCGTCCAGGCAAGTCTGGACACATGGGGATCTCACGTGAACAGTAATTTTGGGGCCCTAATTAAGCCACTGCCCAACCGGCAGCTCAGGTAGTGCTCTAACGGCTAAGATAATCCCCCCGAAACTGGACCCCGCGACAGGGCCCGGCACCGATGGTTTGGGGTCAAACTGGACTTCGTTTTTGGAGTTAGAAGCAAGGGGGACATCGTTTTTATGAGGTCCTGGAGGAAGCGCCAAAATACACGACGAACATGTCAGGTTTCACGAGTTGAACGTGTTCTTTCGCAAGCGCGCGAATTTCAAATGCAAGACTCAAACAAACAAATGGCTTGTTTACAGCACACAAACAATCACATGGCTTCGAATATGGGCTATGAGTATACAATATTACTCCAAACTATGTTATGTAAAAAGTTCCGAAAACTTATGTGTCCTAATATCCGTTCTCGAATTTGTTGGTTTCTAGACCAACTACCAAACCAACTGGGTTGGTTCGGAGCATAAATATTGGAGAGTTCACGTAAGTTTTGGACCTTTTTAATTTGGACGATTAAAACGGTCAAAAATCTCTCATATAGTGAAGAGAGCAGATCAAACCGTTGCCTCTTCCCTTTTTTGAGTCAAAAGTAGTATAAATCTACGCGCTGATAGATATCGCGCTCCAATCACTTGCGGTGTCCTTTGAAATTTGTGGCGAAAAATGCATCGCAGGATTGTTGAGGCTACAGATTTGGTTGGCCTAGGAGATTTTTGACACCCAGCATCAAAATGGTACTATACCCAATGGCAGAGCCTCTAATCGACTCGAAATGTTTTCTTTTTGCTTTTTTGTTATATTACATACATCAAAATGCGCTTTTTTCGCTTTTTTTGTTGCTATTTTGGTTGAATAGGGGTTTCCCCACTGATTTTCACGTCGAGAGGGACTTCGTAAATTTTTGCGAAGTCATGGGGGACTTCGTTTTCTAAAGACCTCCAAACCAACGCGTGCCGGGCCCTGCCCCGCGACCGTATTTCGCATGGATTTATGGCGCAAAGCGTGTGTCCTGGCGCGAAACTGCCATAAATCCATGCGAATAAAATTGCGGGGTCTAGTTTCGGGGGGAATATCTCAGCCGTTAGAGCACTGACTGCGCTGCCGCTTGCGCAGTGCCTTAGTTAGGGCCCCAAAAATACTTTCCACTTAAAATCCCCATAGGTCCAGATCTGCCTGGACGCTGTCTTCAAGAACCGAAAAGCATTCAGATTTTTCTGCAAGATACCAGAGCTTTGTTGACCTAATTTGAATGAACTTAACAAAACTTAAAGCATGTTCTTTTCCCATTTTTATCTGCAGTGGATTATATTAGAAGTCACCAAGCCATATTATATCTACAAACAGAGAGACTTTCTCTTTTTAATAAAATTAAAAAGAAGCTAATTCGTCACGACAGCCAAAACTGCACATTTTTAAAAGTGAGACAATAGAACTTTCGGGGCATTCTAATACTTTCTATGGCATAAAAAAGCCACAGGCGGTACTATATGCATGTTTGGAAAACCGCAACTCACAATTTTCGATAGCCTTATACGAATGGCTGTCTAAAAACAGCCAGTTCCAAAAAAATACTGAAATATGCATCACCTACGAAGCAAACTAATACATAAACTTTGGATACTTGGGCTGAAAGATGCATAAATTTGTTTTATAAGAAACACTGACTCACATGAAGGTTTTTTCAGCCTTGAAAGCTTTTTCAATCTCAAGAAACTAATAAATTCCATGAAAGATTCAAGTACGTCTAAGCACGACATTTTCACAGAAAATTATCAACAGAAAATGAGAAAGTAGTGATTCACATCATCTGTGCACGAGAACAAATCTCAAGGGAGAGGACGATGAGGCTCTCAAGTTCATGAGGATTGCGTGACTACATATGAATGTGATCCTAATGAAAGACGCTCGTTCTATGATGTTCTACTCTTTGCACATAGAAATGAGCTTTTTGATGTGGACTCTGCAAAAGTTTTGAAAGCTTCTCAGCACGAAATGAACAGAGAAAGAAAACGGGAGAAACATAATTGCACATTGAAGCAAGGTCTAGAATGTTCTGGGTAGTAGGTAAATGCAAAAGTTCTTGCATATTTTAGGAAAAATTCAATAAATTTCGAAAGTCTAAACCTAAATTCTAGGCTTTACATCGATTAAGAGAATGTTTGCGCCCTACGATAGCAAACTTTTATTAAAACTGGAGAACATGCTTCCAAAGATGTCACTCATCAACAGTTTGTCTTTGCTCAAAAAAAAACTACACGTCTCTAGCCTAACTAACAAGGGAACGATACTTGGTGTCCGTGGTCTTTTGAGATGAAACGTAAACCATCACACTCGTTTTGGAACGCTGCTACTGAAAGAAGTTATGAAGGATTTGCGCTTCAATGGTCGCCTAAGAGAAATGCGACCGAGGATGCCCAATTTTCAAAAAGAAGCTTGATTAAGGCAATGCAAAACTGAAAAACACAAAGGGACTCGAATCTAAACCTACATTAACTTGCGAGGCTATTTCACTAGCCATTACATGACATCTTAGCGGCGGTTTTGGCACTGCGATAACGTCTCCTTTGGCGCAAAAATCCCATTTTGCAGTGGATTTCCTCAATACTAACTTCTTCAGCAAAAACCCAGTTCAATGTCCAGAAAAAGTTATGGTACTTCAAGCAAAAGGTCAAATTTCCTGGTTGGTTTTGAGCTGTTTTGAGCGTTTTGATAAGGAAATCTCCCGTGTACAATAACATTTTTCATAAATTTTGCTTTGTATGAAATTAGGCCTGCAATAGTATTAATAGATAGCCCATTTCTCTGTGAAATCTCACAGATTTTTTGAGGCTAGCTAACGGCATTCTAGTTTTTTTACGGCCAAGCTCAAAATTACGGAAAGAAGAGCTGTTTCTGGAAGCTTGTTTGCAGAAGGCTAGGAAACCAAAAATTGCGTTTAGTCGACTCTCCTGAAGCTCAAACCCTCGTCTATTTTTTTGGACACAAAATCATATTGAGTAAGGATTTGGAAAGTTGACGAAGTTTCCATAATTTAAGCGAAAAAAACTTTTTTACCTGTCAAATATTATCAATTTACTCTTGTAACAATAACTGGGACTTGAAGAAACCTGCACATTTTCAAAGCAGTACTACATAAGTTAATTATTCATTCACAGAATTATCACAAAGACTATATGCAAGACAAATATGTGTTTTTCTAAGTACTCCGTAATGTTAGATTAGATGGCAAGCAGCACAGAGCAATGGTTACAAGTGATTCGAGTAGAAATTGAGCCTACAGTAATTTCGAATGGGTACATACACTATTACAGCGTTTGCATAGAAGTGAGTAAAATGTCAAGAATCATCAATCTAGCAACTTAGTATTAGCGCGAATAGTTTGATCAGGCACTATCAATGTATTGTAGACTGTTCTTTCGCGGAATGTATCTTCAGGTTGCAGACTTCTTTCGAGGGACAAATTCGAAGACAGTGATGCTCTTGGGCGGATACGAGGAGAGCAAACCTAAAAAAATATCTCTTGTTGTGTTTGAATATTCAAGAACCTGAGGCGCTGTGTCTCATTCGCCCAATCCCCAAATCATGCTCCACCTCGAAAGCGTGCACCCGATCAGGTATAATAGCCTGATCTGGCGCTCATCCTCTTTTCTCAAAAGCCACGAAGCAAATTTCGCCACAAAACAATTTCGGTTCAGTCTAGAATCAAACATACATACAAATCTATTCATGACACTGAATGTGATGATCTTAGGGCATATGTAGCTCAAGTGAAAGCTAGTTTACAGAGACTTTTCCATTTTACAATAATAACTAGCTAAAATGAAGAGTAGTACGCAGTAGTAAAGTACCGAATTTTTCGATGACGCTCAATTTTCGAAGATCATAAGGAAGAATAGCACTACACGTGAAGAGAGCAAAAGCGCAGTTACAAAAAAAGATAAAATTAGCTTACAGCCCGCAAGTCCGCTTTGCTGACGTCAATCTCAATCCAAGCGCTTACCAAATCAGGCGCACATTTCAGCGCAAGCGATGCGCCCCAGATCAGGTGCTATTCTTGATCAGATAACAACCTGATCAGGAACTAATGTATGATCTGGGAATTGAAACATAGCGCTCTCGAAAATCCACTTACATAAATGATATGCATTCTCAGAGCTTGATCAAAAAGACGAACATCCTCCTTGGAAACCGGATAACCTTTTGGTGGTTCGAAATCAGGTTCTTCACGATCATACTTATCCGTGAACTGCAGATTCTCGCATGTGTGAATAGTGCCAACTTTCTCCTCATAACTGAAAGAAATGTCTCTGCAAAATATTATTGAAGCCACTTTTCATATGCTCACCATCGAAGTCTTCGGCGTGTACGTTCTTCTCCCCAATATACTATGACCTGCAGCGGGCTTGCTGTTCGCTGTTGCTGAAAGTGTAATATGAAATCGTAGTTCATAAATTTCGACGTGCTACACTTACAGCAGAAGATGCCGTCGATATGATTGAGTGCTGCGAGGATCTCCAATCAAAAGACGGGAACGGTGATCGCAAGCGAACAGATATTTTCTAAATAGTAGATAGAATCTGGCATGACCGAGCTTTTGAAGGAGACACTCAAATATACCGTAGCTAAACTACCGGATAGTAGTATGCCCAAATAAAGATAAGTGTTTCATTTGCTGACAGAAAAGTGGAATACACTAAGCTCACGAATGAAAACGCTGAGAGAAGCAAAAGCGTATTGTAAATCTGACCCGTGTATCTTGGATTTCCTCCTTTTAGAGTAACAAGAGAAGGTATATGACTCACAGAGAAGTCTCCCATGAGATGTATATCAGTCAAAAGGTCTTTAAGCGCTGATTTCAAAACCCTTCCATATCTGCTCCTTGGATTATACTGAACAAGCTACAGGCATTTGTTTGACCTCAGATGACACTGATTCTGGTTGCTTTTTGCACGACTAGAACGGCAGAATAGTTCCAAAACTAGTCTCGTCATTTTCTTATGTACAATAAATATATCTGACATTTGGGGATGTACCTTTGAAGCAAATTCGCATTTCTTACGAGTTTAGGTCATTACACCCCCACAATGGTTGGTCGCCTCATTGTGGCGTGGGGGTGACACTGGGTGTCGAACTGCGATGCACAGCCAAGTGTATACTCTGGTAGGGCCTCCCAAGCTGTAAAGGAGTTCGACGTTTCCGATTTCGGCCGGATGCCTAGCTAAGAACCGGCTACACCAGATCCCCCGCCGTCTGGCTTCTTCTGGTCGCTAGGCGGTTCCTCCTCGCTCCAAGCCCGGGGTCAGCGATCGCCCCGTGGAAATCAAGAGTAGACCTAGTAAGCCACCTCTTGTAGGGGAAAATTCATATTACTCCTCCAGTTAGAAGATTAGAAAGAAACCCTGCATATCGTATCCCGCCTACGGCGCAGGGTGGTAGCAAGAACGATGTCAGGGTACTCAGGGCGCCTTTCGGATTGGACAAAAACGACACGTCTGCCCGGACGACACGCCATGGAGATTGCCTCATGCTCTGCACCTACAACGCCAGGACAGTCTCCACAAACGCCGACCTACACGCTCTTCTCGACGCTGCAGAGCACATCAACTACCACATCATCGCTCTGCAGGAAACGAAGTCCAGGAAGAAGGACGTGCGACAGATGAGTGATGGGACCCTCATCATTCGTGGTGAAAAGGTTCCATCACGAAACGTGGGAGGCGTCGGCTTTGTCGTCCACCCATCTATCGTCCATCTTGTCGATTCGCACGAGATCCTATCACCTCGACTAGGCATTCTACGACTACGACCTCCACATCAGAAGACCATCAGCATCATCAACTGCTATTCTCCAACATCAGCAGCTGACGAATCAGAACTAGATGCTTTCTACGAAGATGTGGAGGAGGTCGTCCGCAACGAGAAGTCCTTTTATAAGTTTGTTGTGGGCGACTTCAACGCGAAAGTCGGGATGCCACTGGAAAAGTAGTATAGGATCGGGAAGTTTGGATATGGGCTCCGGAACGAAAACGGCAACCGTCTTGTTGGGCTTCTCTCCGCCGCACGACTTTTCCATGGAAATTCCATCTTTATGAAGAAAGAACATCGCCGATGGACATGGGAATCGCCCAACGGAACGACCCACGCGGAGATCGACCACATTTCTCACCAACCGAAGGTGGAGCTTGCTCGATATCTCTGTAGTTCCATCCTTCTGTAGTGGCTCCGATCACCGCCTCCTTCGAGCGAAGATACGACTCAGCCTAAGGCTGGAAAAGAAAGTCTGTCATGGTGCCGCGAGAAGGAAGGAAGTCGTTTATGACGGTAACAGGCTGGAAGAGCTCATATCAAGTTGTGACTGGCCCATCGAGGAGGACCCAACGTACGACCACGACTGGCTTCTGAAAGGATTGCGAGCCTGCGGAGAATGCACCTCAGTGACTTCTGAGAAGAACTTGGACCGCATCTCGAAGACCACCAAGGAATTGCTCGAAAGAAGAAGATCAATGAGGCAGAATCCGAATGCAACTCATCTCGAGCGACTGATAGCCAACGCCAGTTGCAGAACAGCTTTGCAAGAGGATCTCAGGAAGTACAGGCAAGCCAAGATACTGGAAGCAGCCGAAAGAAGATGAAGTCTCAAGAAGTGCCGAAGGGACCTCTGCGAATATCACGTACCACTGGCTGCACTACTGAACGAAGACGGGACTCCGACTTCTTCCCGATACAAGATGGAATTTATCGCGAAGAACTTTTACACCAACCTCCTCCGCTCATCAACACCCGTGCAGATGCCCGTTGTTCCCACTGGAGAAGTACTACGAATTCTACCTGCTGAAGTGCGTATCGCGATACAGACCATGAAGACGTCCACGGCTCCAGGACCAGATCATCTTTCAACTTCTGCGAGCCGAAGGACACCGTCTACACGAGATTCTAGCGTCGCATTTGACATCTTACCTTCAGAAGGAGAAGATTCCCGACCAGTGGAGAACGTCAAGAACCGTCCTTCTCTTCAAGAAGGGTGAACGGGAGGATCTTCGGAACTATCGTCCAATATGCTTGCTGAGTGTGCTGTACAAGCTTTTCACGAAGATTATCCTCGCTCGCATATCAAGGACACTGGATGAAGCCCAACCCTAAGAACAAGCTGGATTTCGCAAAGGATTCAGCTGCATGGACCATATCCAGACCGTTTCGAGGGTCATAGAAGTCTGCCGGGAGTACCGACTGCCTCTCGTCCTAACCTTTGTCGACTACGAGAAAGCCTTTGACAGCGTCGAAACCAACGCCATCCAGTCTGCGCTAGTCGATCAAGGAGTGGACCCAGCTTACGTGAGGACGTTAGCCGACTGCTACAAGGACTGTACAACGACGATGCAGCTATTCCATCGCCCCCTGACCATACCAATCGGGAAGGGGGTCCGACAAGGCGACACAATCTCGCCGAAGCTGTTCACCGCGGCCTTGCAGTGGGTGATGAAGTCACTGGACTGGGACGAGAGAGGCATACGAGTTGATGGGAGATTCCTGTCCAACCTTCGTTTTGCGACGACATCGTTCTCTTCTCGAGCAGTATCACCGAAGCGTAGACGATGCTGAAGGAACTAAACGAAGTAGGGAAGAAGATCGGACTGCGAATAAATCGGAAGAAGACTCAGTTCATGAAGAACGCCCTTTGCGAAGATGCAGAAATGGAATTGGAAGGCACCCCGATTATGGAGACGGCTTCCTACGTGTATCTCGGACGTTCGATGAACATGGAGAACGACTTGAGGGAAGAACAGGAGAAGAAGAGCAGCCTGGGCCGCCTTCGGGCCTCTGAAGGAAGCCACCGACCAACTGACGGACCCGGAGCTTCGTGCCCACCTGTTCGACTCAACCTGTTACGCTCCCGGCGCTCTGTTACGCAGCTGAGACTTGGGCCGACACTGTAGCCACGTCGAAAGCTTTACGGACCACCCACAGAGCGCTCGAGCGCAGTCTTCTGAAGATGACCCGACGCAAGCAACATCTAGTCGGACTTCGCAGCACGGATATGAGAAGAATGTCCCGTCTTCGTGACCCAGCGGAATACGTCGCGAAAGCCAAACACCGATGGGCCGGTCACATATTGAGAAGAACAGACGACAGATGGACACTAAGAACATCTGAGTGGATTCCTCGCGAAGCCAAACGTCCTCGAGGAAGACCACCGACGAGATGGGCAGACGTGTTCGTGGAACGGATGGACCAGCTGAGAAATCAGCTGGATACGACTTTCGCCCCTGGAACTCGTGGATGCAGCCACCGACGACGGCCAAGAAGATCGTGGATGTCTGAAGCGAGGGACAGGGAAAACTGGCGACTTCTGTACTGGGGCCCGCACGTCACGTGAGGACGGGCCATCTAAGTAAGTTAGGTCATTACACAGTACCTGATCATGCGATTTGGAAGCGGAAAATGACTCTAACTTTGTTCAGTAAACCGATAAGAAGATATGGAAGGTTGTTTTGAAGTCAGCGCTCGAAGACCTTTCGACTGATGTACATCTCATAGGAAACTGCACTGCGAGTCATATACCTTCCCTTCAGTGGCGTACTCAGGATTTCGGCTCGGGGGGGGGGGAGGCGACAAAAAAATTTTTCAATGAAAATTCAGAAAATTTTTTTGGTATGCTTCTTAAAACTTTCGCGGATCCACAACCCCAAAATTTTAGAAAAAGGGGGCCGTCAGCCACGCCCCCGAAAAATTTTTTTTGTAAGGCTAAATTGAATTTTTAAAAAATTTAAAAAAATATTTCAATTACTTACAAGTAATGATAAGTCTCTTGCACATTTTTATGAATCATGTAATAACTTTCAAAAATTTCGCGACCCATTCTCGGGGGGGGGGGGGGGGGGAATTTTCGAAAGTTAGTCCCCCCCTCCCCTCGGTACGCCACTGCTTCCCTTGTAAGGCCTAGTCGGGAGCAGATACCAAGAACGACTTGTACTAACATATATTTAAATAGAAAAATAAAAAAAGACCACATAATGAAAAAGCAGAGTCACCAGTAGATATGAAATCTCACCATAGACTCATCCCTTCCAATCACAACTCCATGTGATGGACGTATATCAACCGGAATTTGCTCTGGATTGCCGGAGTCTCCGCAGTACACTACCACCACGCGCGCGAAAGCATGCCTAAAAGTTTTTTTGCGCAGTACATATCAGTTTGAAAATTCAAACTGTACTGTAACAACAAATTTTGGAATGCAAAACCCACCGCTTCCCCGAATTTACTAGGGTGAAAGAAAACGTAGATTCATACGACGACTGCAGCACATATGAGCCGTTGCGTGAAATCTTCAAATCCTCCCGATCTTTCACCGTTAGCACAGCTATACCTCCAACTCCACGTACGGGCATCTAAACTGACATTGGATTGTGGCTCAGAATACTGCAGATGGATGGCCTACTCTATATGTTACAGCAGGGCCGCCGCCTCCGCTGGCACTAATGGAAAGGGTCGTACAAAATCGTGCATTTTGAGTGGCACAGAACTCAATTCGTAGTGTTGTAGAGCGCTGAGCATCTAGCAGGATGATTTGACTGTCCAGAAGCTAAAGCACCCATTCCGGATTTCGAGTAGGAATCAAGAGAAGAACGACCGCACCGTAAAAACATTTCCTGGATTGTTCAGCTTTGCTCTTATTCGCAATGGATGATCGGTACGGTTCCTCACATCAACAGAGGCTATGGCAGTATCTCCTATGGCAATGCAACCAAAGGCAACCTCGTGTTGAGGAATGAAAAGCACAGACCTAAACAAATAAGTAATACTGTCTCTGCAAAGACTTGAAACTACCTTCTAGTGCCCTCTGAGCTCATTTGCGAAGTGCTGCGAGCGTTGGTGACAGTTGACAACGAACTACTGGATCTCGTGGATTGCGGCCGACAGTTCTGCTAAAACAAGAAGTTCGGTGAAGTCAAGAAAAGTAATGAGGAAAAACAGCGGTCATACAGCATATGACAATTTCTTGCATACTACAAGCAACTATGGACGGTAGGATAAAAAAATTCAGTTTTCAATTTTTCAAACATTAAGCATGAGTTATGAAAACGGTATTACCTCATCGCGCATTGCCATTTCCTCTGGCTTGATTACAATAGCCTTTTGAATCTGAAAATTGAGATTTGAAGAACTCAGATAAAACGTACACATTTAGACCTACATTCTCATCTCGTTGGCTTGTCGCATTCAATCGAGAGTTCACCTTAAAAAGAGTTACGAGATAAAAATGCTAGATATCTACTAGGAGAATGTACCTGTGTGGAAGATAATACCCTGGAAACATCAACGATTTCAGGAAGTGGTTTGGATAGATCAGCTGAGTGGCGCTATAACAATATTAGAGAGTTAACTAAGGAACAAATAATTCCACAAAATAACTCCTTAGAAGAACTTCTTGGAACTTAAATACTCACAAAAATATTCGATGATGAGGATTGCTTGGATCTGTCAACAATGACTTCCCGCTCTCCCTACAATGCAAAGTCTTTACAGTCATAAGAAAATGGTTCATAGAGAAAGGCAAAAATTGTTCTCGGAGAAAGGCAAAAAGTGCTTTACGGAGAAAAGCAAAGTATTTGAACCACAATTTCTTACCTTAAAAATTTCAAAGCTAGACAGCCAATGCAATAACAAGTTAGAGAAGAATTTTGCTAAAAAAGTCATTTACAATACCTACTTCGATGTCTGCACGTGAGTTAGCTTTCTCCACAAATGAAAATCTTGATATTTTGGGAACATCGGCATTACCTCTGAAAATTGCACAACCATGCTCGACTCACGCAGAACGCTTCAACTTACTGTAGCCTTGGAGGTAAAGGTGGAAGAAAAGCACGCGGTTTTTTTAGGTTCACTTGGTTTTTGATTCGAAGCTCCAGTTCTTGCATCATAGTGTTTGGAGATCCACATTTCATATGCTGTAAAAAATTTTAGATGTAAGAAAACTACCACAATGTGACGTATAGTTCATTTACAAAATCGTGACGACGGATTTTATTGCGGACATTGCGCCCACAAGAGCATAAAACGCTCATACAAGAAGGTATCACCTCAACGTTTAGCTCAGTCACTTCCAGTGTCGAAATATTATTGTACATAAACAAAAAAAAACATTCGACTAGAAATGAAAACCAAGAAAATGCGATTTCCGGAAGTGGCTTGCGTGTCGCGCGCGGTCGCGCCGTCGTCACGATTTTTCAAATGCCCTATACATGCAAGCAAATTCAATCTCATAGGCTCTTGCGCAATATGATCGCAAAACTACTTTCTATAGATTTCACGAGTCAACGGATTCGTATAAGACCGTAATACTCACAAAATGGACTGATTTCTCGTATATGACACTCATGCAGTGAGACCACTTTTCATGGACTATTGATTAGGAGTTGCCACACACAGAAACTGGGCGCCGTTACGGACATAATATCACGATCAGATCAGGCGATCCCCTAACCGTCCACAGTCTCTTTCAGACACAAACTGTTTCTCATACGAAACGGTATTATGTCTCTACGCGCGGTGACGCCTATACACCGCCTATACGCCTATACGAATATTAGTTGCAAAACTCAGTTTACCTTAAGCATACTTTCAACTCGCCCAACGGACACCATTGTAGTATCCGTCGTCGTATCAGCGGATGAAACATTTCCTGCAGGGTGCGATGCTGAAATTTATTTCAACAATTACTGGGTTTTATTCCAGCAGTTTCCATATATAATCTAAACTGTTCCGAGCTTACTTTCTTTGGCTGCTTGAGGTGCATCATCAGCTTTGATCACTGATATATCCTGGACTTTCCTCTCAAAATCGCGACGTACTTTACGTGACGACAACACAGCTAAAGTGCGGAAATTAGAAAAGCAGATATAAGTCATAAGAAATGCATGGGTATGAGGGAAGAATAAAGAACTTTTCACGAAAGGGTCCATGAAATCGGTCAAGTCCCGCTGCAAAAAGTGACTCAAGAAAAGAAAAAGTTTGAAAGTTCGATGCGATCTGCTCCCTCTGTTATGTGAATGGACAGGAGATACTTCGCCCGAGACTGGACATGACCTCGCAATGTCGAAAGTCTTTTCTTCCAGATAAAAGAAAATAGTTGAAGTTTTCAGATAACCATAAGGCCCTGTTTTGGACTCAGTACTTCTAAACCCCCTCACAAGAAGAGCGGAGCGCAGCATTTACAGGGGTCTTCCATCTTCGAAAAGCATTTTCTTGCTTCAGAAATCACTTGCAATGAGACTCAGCCAATCACTTAAAGGCAGTGTCCGGGCAACAAGTCAAATTTGAGATCATGTGCTTACCCGGGCCTATTCACTATGCTGAATCCGAAAATCCACATTGGAAAGCGCGAAAATGGCAAAAAGGGCTCTAAAGCAGGAGGGAAATCCGAAGTGGGCGGGGTCCTCCCCACTGTGAATTTCGCAGTCCCAGCTTCTGGAGCGATCTTCCCAATTCCTCTAGCGCCCTGAGATCTCCACCGGCTAGGTGCGAATGCATGACTTGAAATCGGAACCGAGAAGATTGCCCTGGAAGCTGGGAGTGTGAATACACAGCGAGGAGGACCCCGCCCACCTACTGATTTCCCTCCCGTGTTAGAGCCGGTTTTCGCCGTTTTCGCGCTCTCCAATGTGCATCTTCAGATTCAGCGTAGCGAATAGGCCGGGGTAAGCAAAAAATCTCAAGATCGAGTTTTTGCCCGGACACTGCCTTTAACCTCGAACGCGCAGCATTCAAGGCTCGCAACACCCTCCACCTTTTTTGTGCACATTGCCTTCAAGATTACGAATAATGTGCGATGTGCAATGTGTGAACGAATGAGTAGTAAATCTCTCAATGTCTGGATAGAAAAGTATGGGTTACGAAAAATGACAAGAAAACTGAACTTTAATTACCTCTTCACATAAATAAAAAGATTTCGTTACAATTTATATTTATTTATTTATATACAATTAGCCCTATGTCGTGTCGCAAACTTCAAGAAAATGGTAATCTATGCTAAGATTAAGCTTTTTGACACAAACTAAGCTTAATTTGATGGTTACCACTACCGCACTCGGAATCTAGGAGCAAAATCAAGCTGATAAGCTCATACCTTCGAGGTCTACACTCTATATGGCACTAAAACAAGTTTTAGGAAAAACAGGAAGAACTCACAAACAGGTGTGCTTGTCTTCACAACAACAGAAGAATCGCTTGTTGGCGCCGGTGAGCTGTTGTTTTCCAAAAGCGACTGTTTCGCCTGACTCCGTTGCGGTGTAGACCCAGATGCAAAGTTCAGAAACTGAATAGTCATTGATAACAAATTAAATCACTGGTTCGGTTCCAAATTCCTTCCACATTTTTACTCACATTTTGCACTTGTGATGGGTTGAGTGGTCTGGCATCAGTAACCGGCTCGGCAATCTGTTTTTCGCTTGTAGACTGTGCAGAATTATACTTGGCTTCGGGTGGAGCGGAACAAGAAGCATCCTAAACTTGAGTTAAAACATCTTTCATACACCGTTCATCAGTATAACACGTAAACACCCGAAATGCCTCAAAATCAAGAAAAAAATCATCTTAAATGCTTGACAGGTCAACGAAAAGATACAAATGACTCTTACATTTTCCACGGCTTTTTCATCAGCAGTGCAATTTGCTTGCGCGAGGTTTGATTCTCGGACTGCATCAGGATTCTATAGACAGGCTCTATTTAGGGTAACATCGCTTTCGTCAAATGGTACCTGCTCGAGAGCTGGAGCCGATTGTGGACTACATGTTTCATTACCATGGTTAAAGGATGATAGTACACTGGGCTCCCAACTGTTTTCTTTGTCAAAATGGCTCCTGTCAAACCTGCAGCAAAAGCATAACGATTAAACAAAAACTCAAAGATCAACTCACCTGGGATCATCCTGGATAAATAAGCCATGACCGCGCATGAACGACTCTTGCTCTTTCTGCAAAAGTTCGGTAGCTTTCCCTAAAGGATTCGGCATAAAATCGACATGCCTTCACCAACAAAAAAACCTCACCGCCTGACACGAAGTCACTACTTTTGATTGAATACGCTTGACTTATTGTAGATGCACACGAACCAAACGACAATCTACCTTTAGGAGAAATTTGGCTCAATTCTGCAAATTCACAATAAAATGTTTAATGGCAGAGCATAGACAAAAGAGCTTACCACTTGTTGCAATGTCGTCAATTTTAGACTCTTCAGGGATAGTTGACAGAGCTGGACGAACTCTATAAAGATTTGATGCGAATGTAACGAGTAAATGTAGGATTTCAAAGCAACATATCAATAAAATGAATCCGAACATTCGAAGCAGAATTCTCTTACCTAGGCTCTCGCAAAGGATTGCCAATATTATCATAAACATCGCAATCATCAACGCTCACTAAGTCTTGCTCATCAACTGAAATTACTTTATGAGCAGAGCTGTGGAGAATAGTTCCTTACAGTTCGACTCATTATCAGAGAGGGGAGCGTCTTCAAAACTTTCATCGTCAAAACGATCTTCTACCACCTCTTCTTCGAGTTCATCGGCATCCCCCGCATCGCCCATCACTTCAGAGCCTAGCAATATCATCACAAACATATAGAGCACATAGCGGACAAGATCAAAATGTCTTCTATGTACATACAAAAAAAAGAAGAGCAGCATGTCAGATAAGAACAAAACAGGCCTCTAAATGCAAAAAACAAAGATTTAGAAGTTGCTGCAGCTCTTGCTTTCCAGATAAACATTATTTAGAATGATGAGCAAGCATGATACTCTATAATAGGCTAAGGACGAGATTTACAGCGAACTGATGAAAAGACCTCGATTTGAAATTCAAACTGAGTGATTCAAATTCAAATATCGAATCTTCGCACCGATGGGTGTAAATGCGTATCAATGACGACATCGATGCGATGTTCAGCTGCCGCGCGGCTGTGTTGAATTACGATTCCCACTGGAGAGATGTTGCTGTGTTGTCGTTGATCTGATTTGTTTGAGTAATATTGTCAAATTTATCAAAATAATGACAAATCTTTCTTGGGTGGGAAGCAGCGGGACGCTCGTTACTGGTAGGTGGCAGCTAAGAATTGCCGCGACGCGGCGTTACAGTAACCCGCCTGGGAGCAGTATGGTAACGTTGCCCGTATCTATCCCAAATTTCATTATCTCAGTGTTGCTTCTTGTATCGTCAGACATGGTTTTTCATATTTTCCCTGGAAATCGCATAATTCTGGGGAACTGCTCTGCTCTCGTTTATGTTTTATGTTTTATGGTCAAACTTCAAATAAGTAGTACGAAATAAAACAAAGTTAGTTTGTTAACTCAACTAAGGATGAAAATCTTGCATTGCGATTTATGCTAGCCAGATCCACTTACTGCCAGCCTGCCGCGCGCGGCGCCTATGTTATTAACAATCACAAGTAACACCCTGAGGATCAGGCTCTTACCGACCGTTTCTTTAGTACAATGTGGAACGAGGATACCGTTTTTCTACGGAAGTTATTCGCAAAGAAGTTCATATTTATTAGAATTCACATGGTATTCATTTTGGGGTTAGGATAAGTGAGTACGCTGTTGCACACAATGTTTAACAAGCTAAAACATGTTTTTCCAAAGTTTCCATGTGACAAATTATCTAAACGCGTTACAACACAAGAAAAAACCTGTTAATCAGACATATGGCAATTTTCAGCATCCTAGTCTCAGGAAGGGTGATAGAAGTTAGTAGAAGTCAAGTAGGCGATCTGGGACCAATTTTGTTAGGCCTTGGCCATACCTTAGGCGTTTTCAGTCGCCACGCGGTCTGGCAATTTGCCCAATTTTTCTCCAACGCTAGCAGTGCGCAAATGTACAGTGTAGACTCCGTAGATTGGTAAAATGTCCTACCCCTTTCCACATTTAGAATGCGTGCACGATGAGTTATGAACAATTGGAGCATTGCCAATTCGCATCGCAACCATAATCGCGTGAGGTATGGCCAAGGCCTTCGGCTTACCGTCCTCATACCAGTAGGTGTACTTGTACATTAAAAATGGTATAGAATCTGTAGTTGTTTGCAAAATGATATCACTTGGATATAAGCTTTTCTTGATAGTGTGTGAAATAATGCCATCGAGTAACTAAGGGCCGCATGCATTAACATCCCCGCGGGGAGGGGATCGCAGCTTAAAAGAAAGCTTTATATTTCGAAACTCCAGATACCTGGATTTCACATTGTGTACCTATCCGTAAGTATTCCTACTACCCTTCACTATGAACATGTTGAAGAGGAGCGAGAAGCTGTACGAACCTCATTTTCCATCTTTTGTATGATCCCTGATGATCCCCGGCGCTTTTCTTTAAGGGCCGCATGCACTAACATCCCCGCGGGGAGGGGATCGCAGCTTAAAAGAAAGCTTTATATTTCGAAACTCCAAATACCTGGATTTCACGTTGTGTACCTATCCGTAAGTATTCCTACTACCCTTCACTATGAACATGTTGAACAGGAGCGAAAAGCTATACGAACCGCATTTTCCAGCTTTTGTGTGATCCCTGATGATCCCCGGCGCTTTTCTTTAAAGTCAATTTTCTTTCTCCGAAGTCAACAAAAAACCTTCAATGTTGTGCATATTATTTAACCCGACAGTGCTAAGCATGTTGCTGATAAGAACAAATGATGTTTAGAAGTCATGAAATTTTCGATGATCCACAGGTCGAAATTTGAGGTTTATCGAAAAATTCGACTTTTCAAAAACTCATTTGTTCTCATCAGCAACATGCTTAGCACTGTTGTGTTAGATGTTCAGTACAACTTTGAAAGGTTTTCGTTAACTTCGGAAAAAGAAAAATGACTTTAAAGAAAAGCGTCGGGGATCATCAGGGATCATACAAAAGCTCGAAAATGCGGTTCGTACAGCTTCTCGCTCCTGTTCAACATGTTCATAGTGAAGGGTAGTAGGAATACTTACGGATAGGTACACAACGTGAGATCCAGGTATTTGGAGTTTCGAAATATAAAGCTTTCTTTTAAGCTGCGATCCCCTCCCCAGCGGGGAGGTTAGTGCATGCGGCCCTAAATCATTTTTCTTTCTCCGAAGTTAACGAAAAACCTCCAGAGTTGTGCAGATTATCCAAACCGACAGTGCTAAGCATGTTCGTGATAAGAACAAATGATGTTTTGAAGTCACGAAATTTTCGATGATCCACAGGTCGAAATTTGAGGTTTATTGAAAAATTCGACTTTTCAAAAACTCATTTGTTCTCATCAGCAACATGCTTAGCGCTGTTGTATTAGATGTTCAGTACAGCTTTGGAAAGTTTTCGTTAACTTCGGAGAAAGAAAAATGACTTTAAAGATAAGCGCCGGGGATCACCAGGGATCATACAAAAGCTGGAAAATGCGGTTCGTACAACTTCCCGCTCCTCTTCAACATGTTCATAGTGAAGGGTAATAGGAATACTTACGGATAGGTACACAACGTGAAATCCAGGTATCTGGAGTTTCGAAATATAAAGCTCTCTTTTAAGCTGCGATCCCCTCCCCAGCGGGGAGGTTAGTTGCGGCCCTTAGACATCTTTCTTCCTTCTTCTCTATCGTGCTTATAAGGGTTCTCAGGGGATCGGAAGAAATAATGAACAGGGATCATCTCACATTTTCAAAGTCATTTATCTTCCTCAAAAATCAATGGAAGCGCTGCAAAATTGTACTAAAGATATACTGCGATACTGCTGAGCATGTTTTCAACAGAAAAAATGGGCAATATTTGGCCACCTAAATGAACGGTCATTTTCAAACATAGCTAACTATATTTCAAAAATGAATTAGCTAGCTCTTTCTGTACTCAATACAAAGCACCCCTCCTTCTTTGCCCATACCGGGAATTCTGCTCAAATAACCATCAAACTGTGGAATTAGGAGCCAGCCAAAATTTCGTTTGTCCCATTTTTCGCTTACAGTGGTTGGCTTTCAGCAACTATTGCTCAAACAGAAGAAGTCCAATTTAGCTCTAATCACTCCAAAAACTACGAGGTTTTGACTATCGATCTGTACATGAATTCGATAAAATTCTCATCGAAGGTAGGGTAATGGGGTATGGCACAACCCCAGAAAAGCCCTGTGGCTGTCACAACTTTTTAGGGGATGTGCCACACCCCATTAACTTACCTTCACACCATTCAAACATCTGTGTTTTTTATATCCTTGTCACTGCTAAACCTTCTCTATACAATAGGGATTTCATTCAAATTCGTTTCTCCAAGGGAGAGATATACTTGTTTTTACCTATGCAAATGGAAAATACTGCGAAAATATTGGGATACTATAACGCTAAGTCCGCTCTACTACATATCGCGATAGAAGGCGGCAAGAATTTATATAATTAATAGCATAAACCTCAATTTTTTTTACAAAAATAATCTGAGCCTGATTGGTCTTCTCTAGCTGAAATAGTGAAAGCGAAAAATGGAACAAACAAGATTCTGGCCTGCTCTCAATTCCATGGATTGGAGGTTATTTGATATGGGATTCTTTATATTAGCAAAGAAGTAGTAGTACTCTGTATAGAAGTGGCTATTCCACTCCATAAAAGATTCTCTTTTTAATTCATCGGTGCTGGCGATGACTCTGCAAATATGGAATGACTATAAAGGAATAACCATCAGCAGACAATAATCCTCTTTTTCAATTTTTTCAGGATCTACTCCAACGAAGCTCTGAGTAACCTTGTTTTTTTAGATCACGAAGTTGCATAATTTGACTTTTTTTTCTCAAAAAATTTCATAGAACTTCGCGAATGTAACAACACTGATACTTCATTTCATAAATGGCTTTGCTTCAGAAAATGGACATGGACAAATCTAGAGTGAGCGACAAAACCCTAGAAATTATCCTCATTGTGTGCATGCCAGTAAGTTTGGCTGTCCCAATATTATACCAAAGCCCCTATTGCCTAATTTCAGCCATTGGCAGTTCTCCATTCCACGAAAGAATGCACAATTGATGTTCTCATCGACGCCCTTCTCACTCTGTTTTGGATTCCTGGACAATTGTACGCCATATGGTACTGCTTCTTCAGAGAATACTCCACAAAGAAGCCAGAACTCACACAATGAGCTCCGCGACTACTTATGAGTATATAAGTTACCTTTTGCCGTAATTATTTTTACCGCTATCATAAACCTTGAAAAATGCAATCACAAAGGTGTTCGCACTTTTGAAGTGTGTCTCAACCAGAGTCTATTTACCAAAGATTGACATATAATAGAGTCTTACACAGGTCCTTTTCGCTTTTTGGTGGCTTAAATTCAGTAAGTTTTTTTCCAGAATTTTTGCATCAGCAGTTAACTGTGCTTGAATTGTGCTTTTACGGACATTACAGGGAAATACATTTGTGAAAAGTGGCAAAGTTTGTCAATCATGCGCGCTCTTGCAGACTCATTGTCTCAATGACATATAGATACTTTAATCTACCCTAATTTCACGCGTACACGGCGCGGGGGATTTTTTTCCAGAATCGACCGGCCCAAACACGCCAAAGGATTTTACAACCAAAAGGCCTTATAACGTGCTGTATATTGCTTAGTATAAGGATCTCTCTCCGGAATAACAGTGAAGCGGCTGAGCGTCGCTTGAAAAATCGAAAATATACGAAATTGTACGCTTAAAACCAGGGTACAAACAGAGTGTAAAAAGCTAATCTTCCATCTAAACGAGAATTTTCAACAAATTATTACAGTATTCCAATTCAAAAGAATCCATATAACTTACAAGGGAAGCGTCTTTGGTCGAAGTAGCCTTTCCAAACGATTTATATATCACTTTGAAGAGCATTAAACGTTGATTTCAGAGCTGTTTTCACTATCTGCCAAGCGCCTCTGAGCGCCGAGTTATAAGTGTTTTTCGGAGCGAAAAATGAACGCAGAATCTATGTAAAAACAGCAATTACGATATTTCCTGCACTCAAATAGTGCACTGTTGAGTATAAGGATACTAGACAGAAGGCATTATTAAGTGAAGTGCTTTGATAACGAACACCTGACCATTTCAGCAGTCTTGGACAATTTTGGTCCGGTTGTGCATTCAGTTTTTCGACTCAAAGAACGCCCATAACTGGGCCTCCAGAGGCGCTGGCAGATTATGGAGGACGGTTTTGAAACCACCGTTCAATACTCTACAAAGTGATATAGGTGGCGTGTGGAAAGGCCATTTCGACTAAAGACGATTCCCTTGTTAGTTGCAGCCTAATATTCGACGCGCGCATGCTATCCAAACTTATTTTACTGGACAGGATAGAACGGTTGCACCACTATCATTAGACTATTTAAAGTGTTCCTCCAATTGATTAGAAGCGCATCCAAAAAAAAAGTTAAACGAGAAGTGGCATGTGGGTAGAGGAACAAATACCGCCATTAGCAGTCTTCCTTAGTCTAGTCGTGGCAATAGAATCGCTCAGCTCAAACGTTCGTTTAGTTGAAGCTGTTCTGGCGATATCACGTAATGCTTGAGAGACTTTTTGTTTCCTGAATTTTTTATCATTTTCTCAATGACTTGAAAGTGACACAATAGCACAGTCATCTTGACGTTTCCATGCATTTGCTGCACGTGTGGGTAACGTTTCTTGAAAATTTTTTTGATCTCCCCCCATACAAAAGACGTTTTCGCATTCTGAAGGTATAACAGTATTTTTGGTCATCTCTGGTTTTCGCTCCAGAGTGTTTCTACCTAGTCTCTCACTATAGCACGTTCCTTTCTTTTATTATCGTATTGACGGGAAACGTAGATTTCTACACAAAGCGATGCAGGACAAGGTATTGGAAATCATGCTAAAAATCATTAGGCAGACCTATCAGCATTTTGCCAACACCCCGTTAACCGAAAAACTCGCCAAATATCTCTTGAATTGATGCCATAGAGGTAGAGGCTCGGCAAATCCTCGACCTAGAATTTTTTTTGGCTTACTTGGGCGCTAATCCTAGGTTCTAATTCCAAAAGCCACCTTAGGCCTCGGACAGAGTTCACGCGATTTCATCGCGACAAGACAACTGTTACGAGTTGCATGCCGATCAGCTTTCGGTTGTAATAGTTTTTCAACGCAAAATTTATGAATGTAAAATGAAAACGAATGGAAACCGCGGCGATGAAATCGCGTGAACTCTGTCCGAGGCCTTAGAGAGCGCGAATATGGCGATGACCAGCATTTCCCAAGCCCCTTCATTTTGAATCTGGACGAGTAAGATAATAGGTCGTTCCATAATTTCGTAGCGTTTTTATAGACCAATAGAAGCATCAACTTGCAATGAAAAACAGTCAATATTACAGTCCTTAATGTAGCGCACGACCTTTTGCCACATCCCCGTTAGCTTTTCAGTCTCAATTTTTCAATCGGCAGCGCGCACGCCGGTCCCAGAAAAGTAATCAAACTAACGCTCAGGGTAAAGCGGGGGGTGCGGCACGCCGCAGAGGGGAGGTCGTATTGAGGAGTCAAAAGGGGAGGGGGTCGTAGTTAGGTGATCTGATTATAGCGATAACATGATATTCGTATCATATCCATAATTAGCACGTCAATTAACCCCTGTAGACAAAGTGTGAGCGAATTCTGAAGATTCAAGATACTAGGCTACCTAAGTGAAATGGTCAAATTCCAACATGGTTAACTTTGTTTTAAAGGTGAATTAGCTATCCGTTTTTGCACTCAAGACAAAGCACTACTCCTTCTTTGTCCATCTCAGGAATCCCGCTTCAGAAGACCTCCAAACTGTGGAATTAGAAGCCAACCAAAATCTCATTTTTCCCATTTTTCGCTTTTGATGGCTGTGCTTTCACCAAATATTACTCAGAGCTAAGAAGACGAATCAGGCTCAAAACATCCCTATGGAATCTACGAGGTTTAGGCTATCGATTCATATAATTGTTGTCCGCTAAAAATGTTTTTTTGATATAGTTAATGGCCTGCGGCACCCCCCCCTCAAAACCTGCGGCTGCCGCAGGGGTGCCGCAGGGGTGCCGCAGGCCATTAACTATATCAAAAAAACATTTTTAGCGGACAATATTTATATGAATCGATAGCCTAAACCTCGTAGATTCCATAGGGATGTTTTGAGCCTGATTCGTCTTCTTAGCTCTGAGTAATATTTGGTGAAAGCACAGCCATCAAAAGCGAAAAATGGGAAAAATGAGATTTTGGTTGGCTTCTAATTCCACAGTTTGGAGGTCTTCTGAAGCGGGATTCCTGAGGTGGACAAAGAAGGAGTAGTGCTTTGTCTTGAGTGCAAAAACGGATAGCTAATTCACCTTTAAAACAAAGTTAACCATGTTGGAATTTGACCATTTCACTTAGGTAGCCTAGTATCTTGAATCTTCAGAATTCGCTCACACTTTGTCTACCGGGGGTATTTGACATGCTAATTATGGATATGTTGTCCATTATGTTTGACAGAGCCTTCAGGTAATACTATCTTAAGTGTATAGTTTAGGAGGGGGGTCTTATTAAGACAGCAATCAGAGGGGGGGGTCGTATCCGACGGTCGAGTGCCGCACCCCCCGCTTTACCCTGCTAACGCTCAAATTATGCTCTGAAATTGAAATATGCACCATTCATAAGGTATGCGAGGGAGCAGAACAAATGGTAATCTGATAGAGCGAGATTTGGGGTGTAGTACGTTGGTACTTCGATTCAATCTTGCGGTATAATTTTGACGACGTTTGCTGTATGGGGTCATGTTTCGTCCTATAGAAAAACTCGCTGGATCTGTCCAGTGATTTGTCTGGGCTTTTTCTGCGATATGGTCCAGTTTAAACGGTGCAGTTAGGGGGTGGAGGACATTAGGTCGCCGAATTTGGAAGAGTCCCGCTCGGATTCCCTGCAGGAACGCATGTCCGCGCTTGTACAAGGGTGCGTATTTGTCACAAATGACCGCGGGGACCGCCCTTTTTCGGCGACCTAATGTCCCCCACCCGCAGTTGGGCTGTGTACGGTACCGTCGACCGTCTTCAGCTTGCCCAACAATTTTCAGTGCAGGACATCATTCCCGTCCCCCGAAAAGTCTTGTTTAGGGACATCCTGATTAACCCTTGATCTCTTGGAGCAAATTAATCTCTTTTTGTCTTGAATTGACAAACAAACACCATTCTCCATAACAATTAACAAACTGTGCAAAAAACGCCTATTTTCATATGCAAAAATTACAAGATGTAGAAAATGCATCTATTTGCCTTTTGAGATTTCCTTTTTCGGAAGCTAACATATCGGAGTAGGAGCTTTCCATCGAAACCAGCTAGTATGATTCAAAGAGCGTGATCAGCTCTTTCCAGTGCAATAGAAACTCGGCATCAAAAACCGATTTCGATATCGGTGAGAAAGAAGTTGAAACTTGCACAGCCTAAAAGATACTCTACTCTTTCTTTATACGACAATACTGAAGAAAGTACATTTACTTCAAAATCCTGCAAGATCTCCCCTCTGCCCCCCCCCCCCCCTTACCTGACAGTAAAAGTGATAGATGTTGAGGTTCGAACTAAACGGCAAGCACGACGTATAAAGGTGCAAATCATTGAAAATGAGACCGTGCGTGAAGCTAAGAACAAAAAAAGCATTAAACTAAGGAAAACACAGTCAGTTTGACGTCAAATTTGAGCTGTCTGTGCACTTGGTGTAAGTACGGCAAGGCGGGACCCCAGCGCTTCTTCCGGGATTTCAAATTTGTGTGCAGTAACACATACGGCACCGAGGTGACTAGACGGATTACGTCTACTATAGCATCTATAGCAAAATTCATCAAGAGGGGTTGAACAGCACAATAAATTTTAAATAACGAAAGCTTGGCATTCTCCAATTTGGAACCGGGTGCCAGGAGCCTAGCGTACAATTTATAGTGTAAATACGGCCAATATTTTGACTAGTCCGTGCTAATTTTTGCGTTAATTTGAAGGCATTGATGGAAGGTATAGGTTATTCATTAACCGCACGGACTGATCCTCACTGCGGCGCACGCGACGCGCAGTGAAATGCTTGTCCCAGTACAAATCGCAATTGTGCGAATTCTTGCTCTCGCAATGTTTTAGCCGCGCGTCGCGGTCGTCGCAGTGACGGTCACTGCGTGCGGTCGATGAATGGAGAGAAGTCTTTTATTCGATAGTTTGAAACGAGGACCCTTCATCGAAAAACAGTAATACTATCATTATTGATAGACCGT